TTCCCTAGGTAATTATGCTATTTTGGACAGTTTACAGTTCTCAGATGCCTTGTATGTTGGCTGAGGTTTCTTCAACCTGTCTCTCCTTCCCTTTGGTTCAGGATATCACGTCCTGTTCTAATTGAAAGGGTTTCTAACCATTTAGGGCTTCTTATCATGCTTAGAAACATTAATCCAGATCAAGTCAAGGTGAGGCTCCCCCTTATTAAATCCCATTCTTATTCAGAACTGAAGTGAAACTGAGTTTAGTTTAGATCACTTTAGAATTTTAATTCACTTATACGTTAAGCTTGTTTGTCTGGAGCAAAATAGACTGCATATAAGAGTAAAACTTTAGTAGCTATACTGAGGGCACAGAATACGTTAATACTCATCTCTATATGAACCAACATTGACATGCAAACAAATAAGATTTTGTATATGTCCATGTGAAATATTATTTGCTTGTGCAATTTTTAGATGGCCTACTGAAAAACCTAGCCACAAAATTTGGGGTAATTTGTTTTTACAGTTGTTCAGAAATAATGACAGCAATATGAATTTACAGAAATCCCATGATTCATAAATACCAACATCATTGTTCCATTTTGGTTTTCTTAGTTTTGGTTATAGGTTAGGGACAGAAATTACACACAAACCAGTGTAAGTGATTGGAAACCAGTTCAAATATGTAACAACAGAAGTTCATTTCATATAAACTGCTTTCAAAATGGCCAAAACTGATTTAAGATGATAAACCTGGATGGATGCAGTTTCAGACTTCACTGATTTAGGTTAAATCAGTTTATTGAACTTCTGTTCCAGATACAAGTTAACTTAGTCCCCCAGCATCCCAGGATGATTTGCACCTCCCTTGCAAACTGTCCCTCACAAGGCTGCCTTGGCCCAATTTGTCTGTTCCAGCTGAGCAGGGAGGGCTGCTCTAGTGCTCCCATTCCCCCCAACTTCTTGCCTGGGCCACTGCAGGCATGTGACTTCATTTCTGGAATCAAAAGTGAATGTCTGTTCACTTGCTTACCTGTTCAGTCTACGCAGCTTAGACTAACCTGCAAAGATTGAATTGATTCAGCCTCAGGCTTTTTGACTATCTGTATTTATCCATAATGTTCAACCCCCTCCATTCTATACTTCTCTGCATGTTCCTATGTGTATGTAGAGATTTTAGACCAAAGATACTTGCAGAATAGTCTTTCCATTACTTTTGCTGCATTTTTACATTGGAAAGTTGAACTGCATCTTCTGCAGGTGGCTTCAGTCATGCTAGAAACTGAGAAGGCTTCAAATCATGCACTTCCTGCAGTGTCATAATTGGGTGGGTGGGAGAGTGGGGAACGGCGGGCGGGGGGCAGTGGGTGTGATAGGGGCAACTGTTCCTGCTTGGAGGCAGGGGAGATGGAGATGGGGGTGGGGGCAGGGGGCACCAAAGCAGCTGCTGTTGGGAGCTACACATTCACATTCATAGATTGTAAGGCCAGAAGGGACCTTGGAAGATCATTGGGTCCAGTCCTTGCACCAAGCAAGAAAGATAACTGGGGGTCAGGTGACACCAGCAAGGTGACTGTCTAATCTCCTCTTGAAGATTTTCCAGGGTAGGTGATTGCACCACCTCTGGAGGGAGCTTATTCCACAGTCTGGACACCCTGACTGTGAAGAAGTTTTTCCTAATGTTGAGCCTGAATTGGTCTTCCAGGAGTTTGTGGCCATTGCTCCTAGTTTTCCCCTTGAGTGCCCTGGTGAACATGCTCACCAAGTCCTTGATGTACTCCCCTAGTGTAGTGGTAAACCTCTACCAGGTCCCCTCTCAGCCTTCTTTTCTTCAGGCTGAAGAGTCCCAGATCCCTTGGCCTGTCCTCGTATGGCTTGCTGTGTAAGACTCTGATCATACGGGTGGCTCTTCTTTGGACTCCCTCAAGCTTGTCCACATCCTTGTTAAAGTGTGGTGCCCAGAACTGGAAGCAGTACATCAGCTGCAGTATTTTGCTACTTCTGCTTGGCTCCAGGCCTCTCTCTGGCCATGTCCGTAAACTGCTGGCTTACTGATTTTGGCTTTTTTTTTTTTTAATTTAGATTCCTTTCATTGCTTTTTTATTAATAAAAAATCACATTTATGAGAGAGAGATCACGCCTCCTAGGCTTTCACAGAAGGACTGGTTAAAAACTTTTTGAGCAAAACATTTCCTCATAAGTAAGCTAAAGAAATATGATGTAGATGAAAACTATTGTAAGGTGGAAGCTCACAGTGTTTAGATAATTTTGTTCAAAAGGTAGTCATCACCAGTGTGTTGACATTTAAGTGGAAGGAGGTATCAAGTGAGGTTCCCAGGTGGTCTGTCCTGTGTCTAGTGTTGCCCAATATCTTTATTAATGACTTGAAGAATGGAATTGAGTGCAAGTGTTATCAAGATGGTGGAGTATCAGATAGCTTGGAGGATAGAGTTAAGATTCAAAATGACTTTGATAAATTGGAGAAACGGTGTACAATTAAATCAGATGAAATTCTGCAAAGGTAAGTGCAAAGTACAGTGCTTGGGATGAAACAGTCAAATACAGAAATGCAAACTGGCTAGGCAGGGTTATAGGGGCTCACAAACTGAATGAGAGTCAATAGTGTAATATTGTTTCACAAAAAGCACACTGGGATGTATTTAACAGGAGGATCACTTGCAAGTCACTGGAAGTGTTTATAGCACTCTGTAGCACTAGTGAAGCCTAGCTTGGAGCTCTGTGTCCAGTTTTAGATGCGGCACACTTAAGAAAGATGTGGACAAATTGGAAAGAGTTCAGAGGAGAGCACCAACAGTTATTAGGATTTGA